CTGTACAGTTATTAAGTATAATGGCATTTACTTCAGCAAAGTCTAACACTAGGAATGAAAGTACACGTGGTAAATCCTATTATATCTAAAGAGATGAGTTGCATTTCCTTGTTTACTTTTTAATACTCCTTTGGCAGGAAGAACAAATTTTCATGTGTTTGAGGGCTTTTTTCCTTGATTATCAATTTTACCAATTGAAAGGAGGGTGAAGGCTGAAGATTTCCCTTTGAAGTGAGCAAACAAGATTCAACAAAGGGAAGTGCAAAGTCCTGTACCTGGGAAGAAAAAATCCCAGGCATGATTACAGACTGGGGACCAACCACCTGGAAAGCAGCTTTACAGAAAAGGGGCTGGAAGTCCTGGCAGGTACGAAGTTGAACATCAGCCAGCACTGTACCCTTGCAGCAAAGAGGGCCAACATCATCTCAGGCTGCCTTAGGAGAAGCACTGCCAGCTGATTGAAGTGATCCTTCCCCTTTGTTGAGAATTGGTGAGATACATCTGAGTGTTGAATCCAACTCTGGGCTCGCCAGAGCAAGACAGAAATGAAAATACTGAAGTGAGTCCAGCAAATGGGCAAGGAAATGACAGAGGGCTTACAGCAGCCCTACGTGAGAGGCTAACAGAGCTGGGACTGTTCAGCCTGGAGAAGGCTCAGGAAGATGCTATCCTGCACAAGAATGATAAAAGCAAATATTCCTGTCAGCATCTTCATATGGGAAACCATTTTGGTATGTTTTTGGGTATCAGCCTAATAGCACACATATTCTGCACCGAGGATTATAACCTCCTGTTGCAATGGGAATGAACTCTCTCTAATTCTTTTTCCATGCCTAATTATTACATTCTGTGTGTCTGTGGCTCATTGAAGAACTCTAAGACAAAGCTGCTATACATGCACAACAGAATGTGTATATACACACACAGAGATGTACATATGTATATATGCATACTGTTTTCACACACTCACATTTATAAAGACATACTGTTTTTTAATGTATACGTTATGGAATGGGAACCCGATACTGCCAATAGGAAAACTAGTGGAGATTATATTTATTTGCCTTTTAAATTGGAACCAGAGAGACAACGAGAATTTATTGATACCACTTTTGTTGCAATCCTCAACAAGATACTTATGTTTTCCAAAATTAGCACTAACATGCAATTTGGAATCTTAATTCCTGCTCTGTAAAGAAAAATCACTAAATTAAAAGCTGCGTTATTGTCATGATTTAGGAATTAGTTTCACAAGATAATGTGTGGAAAATAGAGTGCAAAAGAGAGCACAGTGAGATAAGAAGAAAGAAAGCATGGTGAGATAAGAAGAAGCAGCATTCCCTACAGCACTATTCTGTTCTACTTCTGTTTTCTGTATGGCACATCAGGAAGTTTTCCCTGTATTTGTATTCTCTGTGTGTAGCTCCCTGCTGTTATCTACCTGGCTTTGGCTAATTGGAACATTAGCAGAATGGAGTGCTTGACTTGGCAGCTGAGGATTGCTTAAAAGTAATTTTTAACCAATGACTCATTTCTGAGTGGGCTTTATGATGGGTGGGCTCTGTCACCAATGAGATCTTTACTTCTTTGTAAAGATCATCTTATCATCCTGGGAGTCTTTGAATACCAACATGCCTGGACAAAGGCAGAATAACTGGTGAGCTTGGTGGTTTCATTCCTTTTCCTGTACCAGAAATATGAGTTGCTAACACAGCAGGAACTTTTCCTCCTTTGCAATGATACCACCGTAATTTTGAGTGACAAGTAGAAACTATAATAGTGTTACAAATCTCTCTGGGTTATTTAAGAGCACTAATCAGAAAACAGCGTTCAATCGCTGTTGCATTCCTGAAATACTCTTCGCTGTTTACCCTGGGAGCAGCTGTCATTACCTCTTGTTAGCAGAGAGTCTACACAAAGAGGGTCTTTAAGGTAGCCAAGGTCGTGCCCAATCTGATCTCTTTTCTGGCAGTCCCAGAGCTGCCTGTGTGTGCTGAGCATACCCTACTCCTTTTACCTCTTTCCTTAGTATTCTACAAAACACCCAGTTTCAGTGAAAAGAAATACTGCTTGGTAGATAAGTACTATCAAAGGGCAAGACACTTTGCAGCAACTTTGTGGATGGGTCTGTTCCCATGCACAAGACCCACACACAGGCTGTTGTATTCTTTGCATTGTGAAACAACAGGAATGACAACCAGTGAAATGGAAGAACATAAAGCAAGCAAACAGATCATCAGTAGAAATCCTACATCACACCAGACAACATGCCTACATTTGTACCTTGCATAGTTTTAGATAAAGCAGAGGAACCCTCCCATGTGATTAACATTTTATATACGAGTAGAAGCATATTTAACTAATGAAACATTTAATAGGTTCATGAAAAACATGGCAATTCACCGTGAGCCAGACTGAAACAGTACAGTAATCTTTATGGTTCTTTTTATATATGTTGTTCTCTAGGTACAGTTTAAGATTTATCTTCACTTTAATTTTAAATCCTTTACTTTAAAAGGAGGCCAGTGATCACTCCAGGGGAAAAAAAAAAAAAGAAAATCAACACTGCCAATTGCCTCCTTACAAAAAAATTTCCAGAATGCAACTGTGCCCATAATTTGATACCAGCTTATTCTAAGATGAACTTTTAGCAAAAAAATCCAATAAAATCCAATTATATTTTCTTGCAAATCTTCCAAGTCAGAGAAAAACTGGGTTTAGGGAAAATGCTTTGGAAGTTTGAGACTCTCCAGTATCTAGGGCTAATTAAAGGACAATGACTATCTCATTTTCGAGATTCGTGGTCAACACAAAATTTTGTTACTTAAGCTTTAAGTAATTTCTTACTTAACCCAGTCAGAAGAGCAAATTTGACAAATGCATCAAAACTATATTGCTGATTCAAGTTGAAACAAAAAACACATATTTCCTCTTTGTGTATTAAACTGGATTCTCGGGGATATTTGCATAGGCCCCCTATTTTTGAACTCTCAGATTCGCTTTTGCTGTGTCATGGAGGTTCTCAAGAACCTTGTCCTGCTGTTACCGTGTCACAGAGGACACTAAGGCACAGCGAGGCTTACGTTCTCATCGCTCATCATGCAGAAAACTGCTGAAGTAACCACATTGCTTAAGAAATTAAGACCAAGTGTAAGGTAAAGCCAGGGGGCATTTAAGTAGATAAAATCCCTGGAAGTCATCAGTAGGACCTACCTTACTGATTGGGAATGCCTTAAGCAGTAAGTTATTAAGTATTACTGGGTGTCCCTCTCTCCCTTCTGGGAATACTTTAAGCAATAAGTTACTAGATATTATTGGGTGTACCTGGTGTTACTTCCTCCCTTTCCACTACTGGGAGAACTGAGCTTACATAGCTATGTCCCACAGGGACACAAACAGAAAGGTATTTGGTATGACTACTCTGGCAGTCATATGCTACAGTACTGTCTGCAAACTCAAGGTATTTTAGCTGTTCATACACATGAATACAACCTAGGCTCTCAGAAAGCCTGTGGTTACCTTTTCATGTGAAAATTTGTTAGTTTGTGGGGGTTTTTTTCCTAGCATTAAATACCAGAGATTTTCCTATTTGCCATAGCAAGCCTCTTACTCAGTATGACATGCTGACTGGTTGAGACAGTTTCAAAGCTATGGGACAACTATGGATCTGGCAGATCTCCTTATGGCTGGGACCCAAGTAATTAATCATGTGGAGTGGTCATTTGGTGAGAGTGGGAAGCTTTTCACTATTGATGGAAATAGGCCAGGCTGAAGGAAGAAGAAGCTGAGAAGGAATCAGATATAATTGATTTGAAATCCCATATTATGAGTTAGAATGCTACTAAAAACTTCCTCCTTCTCCTCAAGCATTTACTAGCATTTCTACACCATTGTATGTGCATATCAATTATGCACATTATTTTTCTAATGTATCTACAGCACATCTATGTTCATCACCGCTATAAGCACGTACTTCTGATGTGCCTGGCCTGCCTCTTCTCAGGTTTCTCATGTTTAAATCTAGACTCTTAATTCTATCCAATACATCTTCCTGGTCCTACATCAAGCACCTAGAGAAGAGTTGTGCTTTTGATATATTTCTTTCCTCAGAGAGCTTCTCCTCTGAAACAGTTTGTTATTACTGACGAAAGTCACAGTCCATAATTTCACACTCACTGGTCATATAACAACATATTCCCTCCCTGACCAGCTCCCACATCAGGGTTTGCCTCAGAAACAGCAAAAGGTATTGTGGGCAGAAAAATGGAGTCTTGTTCCCTTTAATCCAAGCCTTCTGCAAGTCAGTGTTCCCACAACATACTGAGGGAAAGCTAGTTTTCAAGACTATTTGTATTCACCTCTTTCTGCAAACAACAGCCTACCAGATGAATAACAGATGAGATAGGTACATATCCACTAGCTGAGCAGTTGAATAATTAAATAACAAGGCACATACTTGCAAACACCTGTCTGTCACTGCAAACAATTCCTACCTGCAGAAGGTCACCTCCCCCTCATGCCGAAACATTGTGCCTTTCTCTGTAGTGGTTTAGGACTCCACTCTTCATGCTGACCAGCTTTCTTGGCTCAGCACTAGATATCTTCCTGGGCATCCTGGATGGTGAAGTCAGTAGAGAGTTTCCCCCAGGAATAAGACACCTGAATAACTTCTTTAAGAATCTGTTCTTGAAAATCAGCATCAGACTTGGCTACAGGCAAAGGAATTACACCTGAAACCTTGGTTTCAGAAAAAATTGAGACATTTTCACGTAAATCATCATATAATTGATCCAACAGATATTGTATTCAGGGAACAAAAGTGACAGACATACATTAGTAGCTGTCACACTCTTAAATTCAACCTCCCTTCCCTGTGCCCTTTCCCCAAAGAGCTTCACCCTACTAACCATTATGCAGTGTCAGAGCTGTCTGGAAATACATCTCCTGAATATAACAAGTAGACACATGAAAAATTAGTCTCAGTAGATGTAAGTTTCTTTGCTGCTGCTTTTATTTGTGAAAATTCTCTGCTTTTAAACTCTGTGCAGACTCTGTGACCTGGAGGCAGAGGAGAGATGGTAATGGAATAGGTCAACTTTTCTGTTTGTTTGTTTTAAGGAAAAGTTCTAGTGCTTATTGAACTGATGAAGTCTAGCTGCCTATGTTTTTTTTTTTTATTTTGTGGTTGACTGCAAGCTCTGATTAAAGCTTCTCCCAGGGAAGGGGCACTTATAAGAACTCTCTCCAGAGTGTGTTCTCTACTATATGAGCTCACTCTTCAGCCTTTAGTTAGGGCACTTCAGGAGTTTCCAATCTATCTGGCTTGCTAATTTCACAAAATTTATAAGAATGTAATTATCTTTGGATTCATTTAATTTGCCTTTAATTCATCCACCAAATTCAAAAGTTATTGCTGGCAACAGAGAAGCAAATCATAATCAAGTAAGAAACTGGGCTAAAATCAACCATAGGGCTTCCTTCCTTCCCTTTCTCATATGCACATGCATGCACAGAGAGACATACAAAAAGAGGGAAGAAAATGTGTGAGACTATCTTAACATAGCTGATGAGAGAAATGAACCCTGATAGGGCAGGCTGTCCCCCGTCTGTACACTTGCCCTTGAATTCCAATGATCTCTAAAAATCTTCCTACCAGTCTGCAGGTTGGTGGGAATTCCTTTTGTTGTTTCTTCCTATCCAATGACATCCTCTTTGCTGCCTTCAAGTAAGGGAAGAATCTCCATTGCAAACATGACATTCACTGCAACCATTGCTGGAGTAACCTCAGCTGCTACCAGCAGCATTGAGCCCTCAAGGCCAGACGTACAAAGCTGAAGGATTCTCCTGTCAAGAAAAATATACTGTGACCTGGTAAAAGATAAAGAGAATCTTAGAAAGCTTCCCATTATCTTCCAGTATTTCTTGCTGGCCTGTGTCATTGATGCTTTATGTGGAGAGAGAAGTGGAATGAATTTTTCTCAACTAAATCTCATCTTTTCTCAACATAAAAACAGGTCAACCAAAAATCTAAAGGAAGTCCCTTCAGTAAATTTTCTGCCATAAATCTAGCTGGTGTTCCACTGTTTATAGCTGCAGTCTACTAATCTGTTCAATCTCTTTATCACAAGGGATTTCATTACAGTCCCGTAATTACTCACAAGAGTTAGAGTGCTGTCTCCATCCAGTGGTGAAACATTAAAAATGCTGCTTTCCCACAGCTTCAGTTTTTCAGATTTTTTGCAAAGCATGAAATATGTGATGTCTTGAATTTAAATTGAACAACTAGCAATCAGATGATGACATTGAAAGATCCTATATGAGACCTAAAAATGCACATTCCCTCTGTAACAAAATGGGGTATTCTTTTATAATAAAAATCTCATCAACAAATGCCATGGGTTTTAATTCTTATCCCCCTTCAGATTTCAGTTTTCTCTTTGAAAGCTGATATTCTTCTGCCTACATAACCATATCTGGACACAAGAAAGCAGAATCCCACCTACCTCCCTTTCCTCTTCCTCCTCCAGTTTAATACAGCTACATCAATAACCTCCTCTTTGTTAATGTAAAAAAAGCACTTCTAGCAGTTTATATTTTTCAAACATGGCAGCAGGAGAACGCCACTAAAGAGAGTGCAGGATTTGACAAACTACCATGGCTTTGCCAAAAGAGACTCAGTAATTAGTTAAGCTCCTGGTTCATTGCCTTTCTTATGAAATGTTAATTTTAGCTACCACAGATAGAAAAGAACAAAACGCAGGCAGAGCTGGCTAGCAGCACCCAAAGGAAAGCCAGGTTTATTCTTCACTGTAGCAGCTTGTGCTTTAAGTCTTTCAGAGACCGGATGCCCCAGCTTGACTCTTACCTTCGCCTCCAGGAATACATTCTTGTTTTCCTTTCTCTTTGTTTTTGGTCTGGCCTCAGGAAACACTCAGTCTCTGATTCTCCTCAAAAAGAAGAGAAAAAATGATGCTGTTTCAGTAGGGCAACAACAACTTTATAAAAAATGGTGTGAAAGGTTAACTCAGACAATAAATGACCTGTGCCAGGCTCTCAGCAATGTTACATTGACCTGCTCTTTGTTTTGTTTTGTTTTCCCTAACTGCTCTTGAGTATGCCAAGGCCTGGCTGGTCTCCAGAAACCAGGAGCTGCAAAACAGTGCAACTCCATTTCTAAGTCATCTCCTTGGACTACCCTCAAGGCAGCACTGGCACAGTTCAGACTGTGTGTCTCTGTATTGTGAGGGTGCTGCTGAAGCCTGTACAGATGCACTGTATGTTCTGCGTGTGTCTGAAGCTGCAGTATGGGACTGGGAAGAAATCAATTTTTTCAGTGTTACCTTTCAGCATTTTAAATCCATGTGTAGCCCATTCTCTTTTGAAGGCATGATAGCTCTGAAGTTGATAAAAAAGAAGTGCCAGCAAAGCTGTGCCTGAGAAATTTGGAGAGCTGCTGCTGAATGCTCAGTTGCTATTCCCATCGGCTGCCAGGTCATACTCCTGATTGCAGAAAGTTTTGAAATAAGACTTGCCAGAAAGTTCAGGAGTGTTTGGACCACCTCCTTGTTTTGGATCTGTTCCTAGATAACAGTATCAGCAGACAACTTGATTCATTCAAATGGTCCTTCTAAACTGAACAGGACCAGCAAGTTATTAGCACACCAAGTTATGTCTGAAAATATGCTGACAATCTACTTTTAATCTCCCATTAGGTCAAAGTGCAAATCTGGAAGTACTGGGGATAGTTCTCTTTTCATTGCCGAATCACTAACTTAAAGCTATTAATTTTTATAGAAGGAAGTCTACCTCCCTCAGGAAAAGCATTAGTTTATTATAAAACTAAGAATTAAACAATCTTCCTTTTTATTTCACATAGATTTCTTTAAAATAGATAATGTATTTCTTTGAAAAGACGTGACCTTTTGAAAATATTTTCTCGAAGTCCCTAGGACTTTTCTATCTCTCTTCCTGGCCAACTGTACACCCACATACACCACCACACCACCACCCTCAGGCTCCATTGTCAAGGAGAGCACTCAGGTGGGACATGGATGGTTCTGCTGGTCCTTTGAAGAAGACACTAAAAAACATCTGCATACCTTAAACAGTCAGATGAGAGAACCTGTGAGCTGTCTCCTCTGTTCAGGAGCAGTTCAAGAAGTCCAGAAACAGTGCTACTGGAGCCACCCTGCCCCTAGACAGGGGTCCCTGCCCCTGTTGCTATTTAGGTGAACCCCATATGAACTGCTTTGCCTAAAAAGGATGTATATTTTTCCATTAAAAAACAATCATAGAGAGAAAAAATTGTTACCCTTGCCATTCAAGGACAAAAGTATGGTGCCAAGGAGGTGGCTGTTAATCAACGTGAGAGCTAGCAGCAAGTGCAGGTAGAACACAGACTGCTTCCTGAACACTGTGTATTCAGTGGGGATGTGAAGTTAGGTTCTAGCCACTCCTCATCACACTTACTGCCACATTCACCTTCATTTTTCATCTTCTTTAACAGATGCATTCTCCTAAAACCTTGCTGTAAGAGATACTTGTAATCACCTACCTGCATTTCCAGACAATAGGATTGTAAAGGTACACAGATTTCTCTCAATGAGACAGAGATGTGATATTCAGCTGATTTATCAGTTCACGACCTTGCACCCCATGACTCACAAATCCTCTGGTCCCATCAGCCTGCAATGACCTGAGAGTTCTCCACTATACTTTACAGAGAAGTAACTCTGGCAAATTTACAACACCCTTGGGAATAGGTCCTGAACTGCTCAAACTCTCATGTAAGTCACTCATTGTATTTAAATCCTCTGGTCCATGGAATTATTCATGTACTCTTTGTCCAAGGAAAGAAAAATTAGATCATAGAGGTCTTTTGATGGAAAGGTTCCTCTGTTTGTTAAACTAAAATAAGTCAAGATAGCTATCACCCATTTCTTCATTCTAATTGCAGTGTTTCCAAAATCTCACAGTTACTTGTAGTGCAGGGCTTTGCTTAAATCATAGCAGTCATGTTCTGAGTAACTGCCAGCAGAACTGGCAGTGACCATGTATCATTGGATCCTTGCCTAGTTTTGTTTCTCAGATATCTCTCTTGTTCATCCCTGCAAATAACTCCAGGCTCAAGGTTAAGTAGAGTTGAAGCTTTCACATGCCTACCCCCACCCCACACAGACTGTTGACTGTCACTCTGGGGACTCACAAAGCTTCCTAACCCCTGCTAGGGAGTCCCTCTAGAAGCCATTGATGATGTTTTTTCTCCCCTAGTCCAAATGATGACTTTGAGGTTAAGTCTTCTAAACAGATAGTTAATAGCAAACAATAGGAAATCTGAACAAACCTCCAAAGAATCCTCCTCTTGGAGTTAGCTGCATATCTAAAGCAAAGTTTGCTGCCTGTCTTTCAGGTCCATACAGTGGACGCTGTGGTTCTGTGCTATGTAAAAAAATTCTGAACCTTTCTAGAATATCATTAGCTACAGGGTTGGTAAACATTGACTTCCCTCCTGGAGGATTAACTTCTTACAGGTGCAGCTTGTGATAAATAACTGAAACTTGAGGGGAAACAATCTGTTGTCCAAAATCCTTCCTGTCAGGGCATTATTGTGCTGTGTGCTGGGATTTCTCCAGCTATGTTCCAGTATTCCCAGGTTAGGACATATCCATATCTCTAGGAACTCGGTTCAGTGTTGCTCTGCTGCTCTGTCAAAACACACACTAAGTCCAGATGGCAAAGGGAACAGGACACCTTTAGATCTGACAGCCCTCCACGTACCTCACTGCTGTGCATGGCTGTATCTGCACATCTGTGCTTACATCACAGAGGCAGAGACTTGGAGCACAGGGGTGCACAGTAACTAGAAGGCCTGAGAGCCACCATGCAGCAGCACAAGGCACTCTGTGTGTGTGTACACGTGTGTATATGAGTTTGTATAAGAGCAAGTAAAAAAAGAGAGGAAATCTCAGACATCCCTGAATAATCCACAGGCTTTATAAAACCAATCAAGTAGAAGAGACATACATTTACAAAAGGGGATCTGAACTCAGGTGACCTTTTCTGAGAAGTTTTTTTATCCTATATTTGGCTTTTCAGGGAGAATGCAACACATATATAATTCTAAGAGATACATATGAAAATATCATAGTAATAAATTAACTAACCGAGGAAGCTACAGGTAATCCTAGCTGCAGGCCTCTGCAAAATTAGCTGAAGTCATTTTAGGTAAGTAATAATCCACTGACCAAATCTTCTTAATGACAGTCTAACTTCACAGATTGTCACAATTTGACACCCAAGCCAGGACTTGGCGTCAAATTGGCACACGAAATATAAAAGATCTCTGTTTCATATTTTCTATACTCCTCCATATACATTTTCATAGCAAACTGTAAAAAACATGATGAGAAATGCAAATAAGATTTAATTTCTTCTACTGTACTCTTAAATATATCTGCCTTTCTTTTAACCTGATCTAATTCCTTAATTTTCTCTTTAATTCTGATCTGTAGAATTCAGATTGTGTAATTTGCAGCTATCCATTGATTTTATAATTTGTCTCTCAGAAGACCAGACAGAGTAGTCTTAGATCAAAAGAAATTACCAATACAGGTGAAAAAGACAAGACTAAAATTCTTTCTTCTAATAAAGAATATTAATAACACTAATGAATAACACTAAGCATGTAGTCAGAATTTGTCCTGAAAAACCACAGTACTGGAAGAGACTTAGCTGTATCTGCACAGAGAACATCACATTAAACTGAGTATGAACGTACCTGCAAAACTGCACTTGCTAGAAGACACACTAACAAGCTGGCAGGTGAGCACAAAAAACAACAGGATTATTAACAAACTTCAATATAGTATAGAATTTTAAGAGTCTTAAAACATCCGAATGGCTGCACTAGCTCAAACCAAAGGTCCTTCAAGTCTAATATTCTGTCTCCAACTGTTTCAGTAGTGAACCACTAGGAAGGTTACCACAGGGTAAGCACATTTGCTGTTTTTCCCTTCTGCTGCCCTTAGCTCCAAATTTTTTCTACTCAGGGAATTCCTGAGCTTGAAGAGGTTTATCTGTTTATTAAACCACAACAGAAAACTATTCCAAGATTTGCCCAGTTCCACCTTGAACCTATCTCATAGTCTTGTCACCACCCTATCTTTTTGCAAGTTCTGTTAGTCTATCATCTCTTGCATGAAGAACTGCTTATTTTCTTTATTTTCATGAAAATGACTGGTCCTTGCAGCTCAAAAGACCACGAACAGTCAATCCCTATGCATTAGCTCCTTACCACTGTTGATTCTGTAGGTCTCTACATATACCCATAGCCGTTTCTCATGGCTGGAGAACACTAATCTGCTCAGTCAAACCTCCTATGCAAGCCCTTCCATCTAAGTATCCCTGCTGCCATTTTCCAAGTCCCTTCCAGTTTTAACATTGTGTCTTGAAGATCAGAGGATGAGAACAGACCACAGTAGTCAAGAGGTAGATAAACCATGGATTTATATGGTGGCATAACTATGTTCTCTTCATTGTTTACCCCTTCCTAAAATCTGGTTTGTTTTGCTCATTGCTCCTAGACACAGAGCTGATGTTTTCCTGGACCTGTTCCCTACAAGGTCTTGCTACTGGTAATCATCAAGTCTAGGCCCATTATTTTTCATTTTACGCCATGAACATCACGTTACATTCATCTACTTTGTTCTCCATTTGCCACTTTATTGTTCAGTTATTCAAGCTTCACTGGAAGTAACAATATTCACTGATATTGCTAATGTACTTACACAAGAAATAAGCGTAAGGAGATCACCTTTACAGCCATTCTTTCACATTTTTTGATGCAACAAAATTGTAGAGGTTACTTTTTCTCCTGTTTATAATAGTTCTTTATAACAGTTCCAGAAAGAAGAAACACAATCTCTACAGAAAGAGATTACCAGC